ATCATTAGTTTATCATTTATTTCCATGTCACTGCTCCATGACAACATGTTATGTACAAGACAACAATCAGAAGTAAAGGGATATTAAATACACAGTTTGATTTGCATAATAAGAATCATATCAGAGGCAGGCTAGTGTTTTATTTGTAGCCCTTCATGTGATTGTGTGTGTGTGTGTGTGTGTGTGTGTGTGTGCAGGAGGTTCTGGTTGAGCAGCGCACAGCTCTAAGTGATTTGCTACAGCAGCTGCTGAAGCAGAGGGACCAGAGAGAACTGGAGCTGCAGCAGGTTCTGGTGAGGAAATGGCTGCTTTGATTGAATCTATGTGGTCAGTGCTGTCAACCAACAAACACACATGTCTGACAGGGCGGTATTACCGTGTGATCATGGCCAGCATGGCTCTGTTTTGCTTTTGAGACATTGCTCTTCTGTGTGACATCAACCACTGATTGTTTTACTCATGTTGTTTTCAAGGACAGCTTCAAGGAGAATTTATCATGTTTCACATGATAAAGTGAACGAAGGGACTACACACTTAGCCCACTTGCATTTATGCTCTACTTACATTAAACCACTTAAAACAGTTCTTGATGAGCTAAATGTTGGTTCATGAACAGAAAGCTACAACAAGCTGTAAATCTCTGTGGCCTACATATATAGCCTTTATGTTCTCAGCTTGTGATAGTGGCAGCAAAAATTAGCCGCCTTTCTTCCTGTCACGTTAAAGCAACAGGAAGAAAGCAGCTTAAGGGAATTTAGTTGTGTTCACAGCACTCAATTAATTGACAATAAAATAAGTGATTCAGTATATTAATAAGATATGAAAAAATCTAAATAAAAAATATAAATATCTCTCCTAAATTAAATCAGTAATTAGGCAGTGAAATAAATGAGCAAAAATAAAATGTGTATCCAACTATGATTATTATTTATAGTTACACACATTTCATATTTGCATTTACACACATTAGTTGTATTGTTAGTTCTCATTTCAGTTGTCTTTCTTACTTTATGGTCAGGTGGTTACAGTACATGAGACCAGTAATTACTCTGTGTTTTCTAGGCAGAGTTGGAGCTCAAGTCTGAGTCCAACCAGCAGAACTACTGGATGATCCAGTACCAGAGACTGCTGGATGCCAAGCCCCTATCATTGCGCATGCAGGTACAGTACAGAGCAAAGTAGAAGGGACACAAACAATATCTGACAACTGAGTGTGCTGTTTTAAAACTGTGCTCTCACTGCAGGAAGCAGGTGTTGAAAAAGAGTTAGTCAACCTGCTTTGCAAACTGTCAGCTCAGCACTACCTGCCGATCCTGGCTCATCATCGAGTGACGACTGAGGCCCTTCGCCACATGACCTCCTCTGACCTCAAGAAGGTAGGTGCATCATTTTTAATAGCACATTTCTGACAGTTGCCACTTTGATACTGCAAATCTTTGACCATGTAAAACTCATTTGAACATCAGCTGTCCTGTTTCCTGTTTGGAAGGAGGGAGGTTATTTTGCCATAATCACTGAGTAGTGAGTAACATTTCCACCACATCAACAACATTTCAATTTGACACAGAAGCTATGGTAGTATTTGCTAAAAGCAATTAACATAAAGTGGCTATAATCAGTGTTACTCATAGTGATGAACTTTTAGCTCAGTGTTTTTGTTTTCTGGCCTGTAAAGAAAAAAAATCTCTTAAAACTTTCCAGAGAGCAGACAGACACAATTATGGACTACCTGGTGAACCTAGTGGAGCATTTAGCAGCTGAAGAGCCAGATATTTCCCCCATTTTGGTGGAGACCAAAAACACAGCTAAAGGAGGGTGATTATTGGATTTGCATTCATCAGGAGGACGGAAGCACAACTCCAAATGAATGATATTGTTCCTCTGTGTCTGTTTGACATGTAAATAGGTAGCTCTTGGCTAACAAGTCTGCCATGTGTACTTAATATTAATGATAGACCAATTAATCAGGCTGATATTTAGCACTTCTAGACTGGCATTAGCCGATGTCTGCACTCACAAAGCTGATTAGCCAAAACTAATACTTGAAATAACTAAACTAATTTTATAATTCACTTGTGTTAAATAAATGTTACTTTAAGTTCAGAAAATGTGTCTTATTTGTTATAATTAAATTGTTGTATTGTATCTGCAAAAAGAATAAATTAAAGCAACATAATATCGGCCACTGGGCTCCCTGCGCTCTGAAGTTTGGCATCGGCCATTCAGAAACCCACACTGGTTGACCACCAGTAATTGTGGTGACATCTTTCTTCTTTGCCCCCAGCTGTCCAAATTATTAAAGCAGTTTTAACTATTAGTGAATATGCAGAAATAATAAGCATTATTAATTTCTGTTTTCAGCTTGGCATTATTGAAATAGGAATCCAGAAAGCTCTTCTGAAATGGGCTCAGGATCACCAACCTGAAGGTACGTTATACTGTACTATATTCTGTATTATACTGTTAATACAGCATCTAATTTCCAATTTGGCAGTCTGCACTCTGATGTGAGTTTATAAACTAAAGAAATACGTGTGGCCACACTGGTCAGAAAATAAGTGGTATAGCTAATGGATGGATGGATTATCTTATGGCCACAGCATCTGTGGTAGCAGAGTGAAAGTTATTTGTTTCTTCTTTATGTTTTCTTTACGGATTAAATTATCTCCATTAAATAGTACAGATCACCAACAAAAACAACTTAAGCTAAGCTAACACATTAATGATAACAATTTTATGGTTTGATCAGAAGATATCTTCCAACCAGATCACTTAGATCACATTGTAACTTACTAGGTACCTCTACCTGAAAATCCATAGTGTGGTGTAAAAATCATTTGTTTCCTCCTTTTAAATAGAGTTTCCATTTTCTTCATTAGTTTTCTGTATTGATTAAATTGCCCTCAAAACAGAATAGAGAAAAGAAAAAGTAAGGTATACTGTATATGCAAGGCTTCCCCCTAATTATGGACGTTTGCAAGCTGTAATCCAGGAGGGTAACATGAAGGCTTTTATTCTCCGTGAAACTCAGGGATATTTAGGACACTGAAAGCCATGCAAAGTCAAAGTCAACCCACTTCATTTTAAGCACCCATTTGCTGTTCTCTGACTTCCTCCTCCTTCATCAGGAGCATGTAAGACTGTCCAGGGAGATGAAGTAGCAGAAGTCATCCCCACAGCTCCACCGATTCCCTCTTCTCCATTTTTTCCCACTACCCCAACCCTCCACATCCCCAGTCCACCACTCACCCCAGGGACCCCTGTTACCCCATCAGCCCCCAGCCCTGTGGAGGGACCAGGGAGCTCTGAGTGTGTGGTCTGCATGGAAACCCAGGTAAGAAGAACCCTCAGCAAAACCAGAAAGAAATATTTTGGGTCCCAGTAATAATCAGCCCAAGGCATATAGATGGATTACTGAA